TGCATGATGCAAAGGCTGCCAGTAGTGGGTAACTGATCCAGTGAAGTACAACTCCTTCTAGAGAAGAATTACACTGTCTCTTTAAGAATGATTTTTCCCTTATACTCAAACCAGACCTGTTACCCAAGCTAGTAAACTAGTTATGGGCTGGACACACTCACAGCTCATGGCACCCATTTCTCCAGAGAAGGTCCTAAACTGGCATTTCTAGTTTCAACACTAAGTCCTTCCTATTCCAGTCCTTGTGCTGGGATTTAGAGTCTCCCCAATGAGAAGACTCTTCACATTGAAGGTTGGTATCATCCAACCCCTCCCTGGGGTCCCTGACAGGGTAATAGGGAGGGGGCCTACAGGTGTGTGTGTGTGTGTGTGTGTGTGTGTGTGTGTGTGTGTGCGCACTCCTGTTAGAGCCTTCTAGGTGGAGGTGTATGCTTGTCTCCTGGAGAGAAACTACAGAGTCAGAGAAAGGAAAACACAAACTCAAGTCCCCACCCTAACTCTAAGCATGCCAAGCAGCTGCCAGTAACTGCTAAAAATATCTAACCCTGGCCCTAGCCATTTTGTTTCTGGGCATGAGGTTGCCCAGAGTGGGGGAGATCCAGGCTGGTTGTGGGGGAACTCCAGAAGGAGACCGCTCCTTTATAGTCTTTCCGCTCCCAAGCCCCATGCTGGGTCTTTTGCTTATGAACATCTCACTCAGAGAGGGGCATAAATGTAGGGTGTGGGCAAGGAGTAAGGAAGTTTTCCTGCCCGTGTCCCAGGCCTTCTGCTCTAAGACTCACTTCTTTTGTTGCACTGATCCATATAAGTACTTGTGTGCCAGCCCCTTTTATCAACGGCTGAAATAGATGTAGTGCTGTTACCACTGCCTCAGAGTTCACCTTCCTCAGACATTGGGTGAAAACCGGGATAATCTCAGAGGGAAGGAGAAGTGATGGGGTGGGCAGAGTGTCAAGTTCTGGGTCTGCCTCTCCAAACTCAAGGCCCCCAGTCCTGAATATCATGACCTATTCCTTCCTTGCTCATCTCTAGAGTGAAGACTGTGTGTGTGTGTGTGTGTGTGTGTGTGTGTGTGTGTGTGTGTGTGTGTGTGTTATCTGTGTCGGTGTATTAGCTGTGACGTACTTTGGAACACTAATTTACTTCTAGACATTTGTGATGACTGTGATGGGGGTGGAAGGGCACCCATTTGGGGCTCAGGTGACATCATACATAGATGGACCTTAGTGGGCTGCCATGGTTGCCATGGAAACCTGAGCCAGACTTTCTGCTGCATTAGTCTCCTTGGCAACCCGTAAGAAGGCCTTGAATTGAGGAAACTGGCTAGGGGATAAGGTTAGAGAGTTTATGATGCAGCGTCCTCTTGTTCTTAAGGTCCTCAAAGTAAACAAAAGCTGAGCCAAGGCACCTGCTTATGTGTCCTTTCCATGAAGGAGGGATCTTAGAAGTCCGAGAAGCCCATGTTGGTTTTTGTTTCTTGGAGAAGGCTCAGTGAGAAGGAGTCAGGGGCTCCAGCCTCTCCTTATAGAAGTCTCTAGAGTCAGGGCACCACTTCCCATCAGGACACATACACCCCCATGACATGCACATATGGTGTGGCCGGAAAGAACCCTGAGGTGTCCAGGACAGTGTCTGGCAGAGGAGTGGTGTAGGATAGCTGTAGACCTTCCCAGAAGGGGCCATACAGGGAAACGGCTGACTTTCCCCTCTGGTAATCTGAGCTTTTGACCTCAACAGTGTATCTTCTTTGCCAAGGCAACGACATCCACACAGAGCCACTCAGACCCCAGGCATTCCTGTGGCTATGCCAACAGGCCAGAGATGATCATCACAAGCCTAGGTATAGCCAGGAGCCCCATGATCCAATATCAGGACATGACCTTTATATCATTTCCTGCTACACTCCTGCCATCTGGTCCTCTCAGCTCTCTCAGCTGCCCAGAAGAAACAAACTGAGGTTGGAACCAGCTTTGTTCCTTGTTAGCAGTTTCACCTTTGTTCATTTGTCCCGGATGAGCCTGTTTCCTACTATGTAGACCAAGGATAATGTAGGTAAGGTCATTGGCTCAATATGCAGTGGCATTATTTGATCAAAAGTGGCATATCTTAGCAGGCACATTTATAGTCTCATTACCCTTGGTTGGATGGGGCAGGTTGAGGGAATCCCTGAACTGTCTCTTGCTTCTGCTTCAATATCTCTAGGATGGCGTTCTGTCCCAGGAAGGTCAGAGATCCCAGGAACAATGCAGATAACCTTCATCTGTTACCTAATCCCACCTCTTCTCTGTGGGGCTCTTCCCTCTCCCTCAGGGACTAAATGTTGAGAAGAGCACTTGGCTGATGTGAGGGTCATCTCCATTGTTAGTTTGACTGTATTTAGGATTGTCATGGAAACTTCTGGGCATGTCTGTGTTTTCAGAAAGGGTTAATTGAATGAAGAGAAGACCCATCTTGAATGAGGGTAGCATCATTTCATGGACTGACCCAAGATTATAAAAAGGAAAAAGTGATCTGAGCATGGGCATTTATCAATATTGGTGCAGCATGACCAGCTGCCTCACATGCTGGAAGCCATGCCTCCTTACCACAAGATATATCCTCAGCCTGCAAGCCAAAACAAACCCTTCCTTCCCTCAGTTGTTTCTTGTCATGTATCTTGTCACAGCAATGAAAAAAGTAACTAATACAGCTGTCCATCAGCATCCCCAGCCCTGCTTACACCACAGCCCTCTTGCTTCAGGGCCTCTGCTCTGTTCTGTGACTTCATCCATCTATTTCACTGAGCCATACTAAGTAACTGTGTGCCAGACACTTTTGTCAAAGGCAAGATGACGGGAGAAAATAAATGTAGGTGAGTGTGTTCCTATGTGTCATCTAATCTCTGAGGCAATCTCATTTAGCTGTGATTTGTTATTCCCATTGTGTAGACATAGTAACCAAGGCTGGAGGGATAACAGTCCAGAAATAGCAGTTGGATATATGTGGTGGAAGGCCTCAGAGGTCTTAAACTTCATCTTCCTCCAGCCACACTGTGCCTTCCTAGCACAGCTGGGGTTCCAGAAAGTTCATTGGGAGCTAGTCCAGTATTCACAGGTGGTGTCCTACAGACAGCCAGTGGCCAGGCACAGATAAGTCAAGAATGTCAGAGTGGGGCTGGAAAGATGGCTCAGCAATTAAGAGTACTGGTTGTTCTTTCAAAGGTCCTGGGTTCAATTCCCAGCCCCGACGTGGCAGCTTATACGTATCTGTAACTCCAGTTCCAGGGGATCCTACACCCTCACATACATACATACATCCACACGTACATAAAAATTCACAAAAAGCTCAAAGGGACTGAAATGTTAGCAGCTTGGTGTCTTTCACTCTAGTGGCCTGGCCACCAGGAAAGCCAGTCAGAATGACTCAAAAGCACCTGCTTACTCTGAATATGGCTGAATTCAGATACCATGGCCACCTCAGACAGATGTGGCTTGCCATGCTGAGGTTCATTTGTGGTGAGGCCATAGCTTGGGGAGGATCTTTGAGCCTTATCACCCTGATGGGTCACTCCATCTCTCTGAAACACTCAGTTCTTTCACTTGTGAAAATGGCAGACCAGAGTCTGGAAGATCATTGGAGACAGGCCAAGGGAGAGTTTACATGTGCACAGAGCAGTTCCAAAGGGATTGCCATGTGAACAGATGAGAAACTGACTGACATGGACCGGTGGCTTCGTCTTGGTCTTGGGTAGTCACATCATCTTTTTAGTCATCAGGTTGGCAAAGCCACTCCTAAGAATGAACTGAGAACAGTAGGAACTGCTGTGGTCTGGGATGGGCCTAGGCCTTTTTATTGGAGGCAACAGCAATCCTTGCCAAGGGAGCAGTATTTTTATCTGTAGCTGGAAGTCTTTAGGATATTCTCCTAGATTACTCCTCAACTGCTAAGTGTAGATGAGGAAGAAAAGCAACCACCACACTTGAGCAAGGTGATTTGCTGAGCTGGGCATGGTGGCACAGGTGTACAATCCCAGCACTAGGGACTAAGTCTGAGGCAGCCCAGGCTATACAGTGAGTTCAAAGCCAGCCTAGGCCACAGAGACAGTAAGACCTTGACTCAAGCAGCCAAAACAAACAAATGAAGAAGCAAACAATTCGACAGTTCAAGAGCCTAGGCTCTCTGATGAGGATTCATTAGGACACCACCCACAGTTATGTCTGGGCTCCAGTAGGGGTGGGCATCCCACCAGAGAAAGAGACTGAAGCAGAAAATCCGGAGGCAGTCCTGGGAAAGAGCTTCCAATGGCTAAGATCTAAGACCAGTGGTCTCTCTGAGATGACAAAGTGCACTCTGGGCACAGGGCCAACAGGAGGCAGAGGCCCCAGACACAGCCATATCACTTTATAGAACTTCACTTCGCTTACCCAGCATCCTGGGATGACACAAACCCCTGGAAGGATGGATGATGAAGATTCCCCAGGATCCTTTCAGTAGAGAAAATGAGTATTACTATTTTGACCTGGGGACTAGGCTAAGCATCAGCATCAGTGGACAAATAGGTACCCTACCCACAGGTTAAGTGTCACAGCACACACACCACTCTTGGGCAAACCCCTCAAACCTGAGCTTATTTGGGCCTTTAGACTAACCTCCTGTGGACAAGGAACCACCACATGGTGGGACCCTCTGGGATTTTTTTTTTTTTGGTGGGGGGATTAGGTCAGAATTAAGATGTACAAGGGTAGGGGCTATAGCCTGGATCTGAAAACATTCCTAAAGTCCAAGTGTCAAAGGCTTATTCTTCCAAGTGGAGCTACAGGGGGGTGTCTAATGGGAGCTCTTCAAGAACATGCACTTGAAGCATGGACTGTAACCCTGGCTGGTCTTAATCCTTTTTTTTCCCCTCTGCTATATACTCTTGTAGCAATGTGCTACTTCACCACAGGACTCAAAACAGCACTACCAATTACAATGGACCAAAACCTCCAAAGCAGTAAGCCAAAATTAATCTATTTCAAAGATTTTAAAAAAGATTTATTTTATGAATTTTGCCAGCATGTATGCCTATGCATCACAGGCATGCCTGGTGCCTGTAGAAGCCAGAAGAGGGCATCAGGTCCCCTGGAACTAGAGTTATGGATGCTTGTGAGCCACCATGGAGATGCTAGTAATCAAACCTTGGTCCTCTGCAAGAGGAACAAGTACTTTACACTGCTGAGTCATCTCTGCAGCCCCCTTCTAAAAAAAAAAAAGCAAATCAAAACAAAACCCAATTTATTTTTTATTTATATGTATGTGTGTATGCCACATGGTGTGCTAAGTGCCTGTAGAGGCAAGAAGAGGGTGTTGGATCCTCTGAAACTGGAGTTACAGGTGGTCCTGAGCTATCTGATATGGGTGCTGGGAACCAAACTCAGGTCTTCTAGAAGAACAGTACATGTTCTTAATTGCTGGCCATCTCTCCAGCCTCCAAACTTGTTTCCTTTATAAGTTACTTCATGTATGTAGTTATGGAAAACTGATTACCAGTGGGAAGGGGAGAGAAAATCTTAGATGCTAGAGAGAACCAAATACAACATATAGAATTTGGGAAGGATCCAAGTACTGTTTCTGGAAAACTCATATGTGACTGGATACTGGATATTAGCTTTTTTGCTGTTTTGAGACAGACTCATGTAAGTTAACTTTAAACTTACTACTAGCTAAGGATGACCTGGAATTACAGGCATGCACTATTATTCTCAGATCAGAATGGCTCAATTTTTGGTCAGATAAAGAACTGTGTTATACAGATGTGGTGGTGGTTTGAGTGAGAATGGCCCCCACAGGCTCATATATCTGAATACTTGGTTTCCAGCTGGTGGAACTGGCAAGAATTAGGAGGGGTTGACTTATTGGAGGAGGTGTGTTACTGGGGGTAGGCTTTGAGGTTTCAAAAGACCCAGTGTCCCTCTCTTTCTGACTCCCAACTAGTGGATTAAGATGTGAGCTCTTGCCTTGTCACTTCAGTGCCATCATGGACTCTAGCCCTCTGAAACTGTAAACCATAAAATAAACATTTCTTTTATAAGTTGCCTTAGTCATGGGGTCTTAAAACAGCAACAGAAAGCCGGGCATTGGTGGTGCACGCCTTTAATCCCAGCACTCAGGAGGCAGAGACAGGAGGATCTCTGTGAGTTCGAGACCAGCCTGGTCTACAAGAGCTAGTTCCAGGGCAGTCTCCAAAACCAAAGAGAAACCCCGGCTCGAAAAAACAAAAACCAAAAAAAAAAAAAAACCCACAAAAAACCAGCAACAGAAAAGAAACTAAGACAGCAGACTTATATCAATTTAGGACATAGTTCTTTATGTCTCTGTAGGTTCCTCTAGAAATAGTTCTGTAAACACACACAAATAAGGCCAGTGTCACAACAGGTCAACTGAAACTACTGAACCCATTGGTGGCTTGGCTATCCAGGTATTTATATATTTCTTTAAAGATTTTTATTTTTTTTCATTTGCAACTTTTGCTAACTGAAGCACTAGAAGAGCTAAAAAAAAAAAAAGATTTATTTTCATTTTTTGAGTCAGGGCCTCTCTATATAGCTTTAGTTAAAACTCTCTGTGTAGACTAGGCTGGTCTCAAAAATCAGATTATCTGCTTGCCTCAGTCTCCTGAGTTCTGGGACTAAAAGGTGCACCACCACACTCAGCTTACTGATTTATTTTATGTGTATGAGTATTTGTCTGAATGTAGGTATGTGTACCACATGTGTGCCTTGTGCTTATAGAGGTCAGAATAGGACATTGGATCCTCTGGAAATGAAGTTACAGATGGTTGTGGGCTTCCATGTAAGTGCTGAGAACCTAACCCAGGTCCTCTGCAAGAGCAGTGTTTTTAACTGCTGAGCCATCTTTGCAGTCCCACTGGGAGAAATCAAAAAATGATGGGGCACCTCATGGACACATCCTTCATAGGCACCACTATCCCCTCCACAACCCCTAATGACTCCATCATGGAAGATGCTAAGGCATGCTGGGAAATGAATATAAATTAAGGGTTTATTACAAAATGAAAAATGTTAGTTTCTCCTTGTCAGTGATTCAAGAAAACAAAGCCACAAGCCCTTGGTGGAGCTGAGGCCAGGACACCTGTGTGCAGGCTGGTGGTCAAAAGCCAGGCTCATGATCGGGCTGACAGACACTGATTAACGACCTCTAGCAGGTGGGTATTCTCCAGAGCAGCTGCCACTCGTTCCTTATCTGCAAGCTGTTTGTTCACTAGGTAGGAAAGAGGGTTATAAAAAGAGGGTTAAAGCAACTTTAGCCAGGCTGCTAGCCTCAGGACAGATTATATCTCTACCAATAAAGGTCTCCTATCACCTTCCCAGGACTCCTTATCAACTGTGCCCATACTCTCTTATTTTTCAGGAATACTACATACCTCCAGGGAGTGCTTAGCCTGCCTCCACTATTCCAGAAGCCTGATACAATGTCCTTGGGGAATATGGGAGAGAAACTCATGGGAAGGAGGAGACTTAGGTCAGGCCAGTTTGATCTAGGCTGTAGTCTGGTAATTCTTTAGTCACCTAGACACCCACCCCCCTTAGTCCTAACCTTCCTTATAAACTATTGTGGCAAAGGGGAAGTCTCAACAGTTTGGGGCCCAAGGGGAGAGGGGGATCAACTTCCCCGCCAGCTCACACTAACCTGCATGTTCCGAGGCATGGGTCCCGGGTGTAATGTGCACATCCATCTGGAAGACAACCTGGGCCTGAGCACTTATTCATCCTTTTTTGGTCCCTTCCCTCCAGAAACCACCTCCATTCCACCCATCTTTCTAATCATGCCTCTCGATTCTGGCACTTCCGTCCCACCCCAAGTCCACCTGCAGTCAACCTACCCAAGGGCCTTGTCAGCTGCTACTGATTTAAAGGTCTGCCAGTGCCTCCATCAAGCCCATCTACAGCTGCCCTTTCTACCACATTCCTCACTATTTTCTGGAGTATTTCCAGTATTCTTGTCAAATCAGCTTGACGTTTCCTCGCAGTTCGTCTCTGCGAGTTGGGATCCTTCCAGTCTCCACTCTGATGTCCCCTCTCCTCAGTAGTTGTTTCATTCACCCTTAGGCTGGACTCCAACTGACCTTGAAACGCTGGGGAAGGGATCGAAGAAGCTTGACTTTGATAGAAAGGCCTATAAGTGTGGCCATGCTGCAGTGTGGAATGGTGGGTGTGAAAGCCACGGCCACCGTGCTCTCAGGGTCGCTAACCTGTGTTGACAAGGAGATTATAAAGATTACACGACCGCCCCTAGCACCGAAATCCTCTCTTTACTAAAATTTGGGCAAGTTACCTAAACTGGAAAAAACAACCTCCCGCCCAAAGATCCTCTTAGGTGCTTGTGAATGGAGAACGCCAGCCTCTTAACATATAATGGGACCTTTTAAACTACTTTGGATAAGCTATCACATTCTGACACTCACCTGAATCCGAACTTGTTCTACTACATTTAATTCCTCTAGCGTCAGTGGATGCTCCGGGTCATTAATGGAGCGAATAAGATGTGCCAAGTGAAGGAAAAGGAACTCTAAGTTTTGGCCCACTCAAAACCTCCGCAGGCATGCCTAACCGGGACACCCCTCCACCACCGTGTTGCACATCACTTCTTCCCGGTACCCTAGACCCCCACCGTCCGCCAGCTCCCAGCAGTGGTGGATATCGAAGATCTCGCGGGCGTCGATGCTGTCGGGCACCTGTTCGTCCTCCTCGCCCGCCGTCACTGGCCGCTCCCCCGAGCGCTCATAGATGAGGGGGTTGGCGTTCTCTAGAAGCCCGACCCGGCCACCGCCTTCACCGCCGCCCACCATCCCGGAACTGCGGTTCCCACAACCCCCGGGTGGTGTGTACTTCCGCTGCTACGGCGCACTTCCTGGGAATGAGTAGAGGGCGTGGTGTGACTACGGGGTCGCGCAAGGGACATGCCAGTCTCCCGGGATTCGGCGGGTAGTTTGCAAGATCAGTGTATTTGTTGTGCCTGCTACTCTGCGGAAGCCGGAAAAATGTTGGTAGTTCTAGCCCGGGCATCAGAAGAGACTCCCGCGGCTCTTGGCCGTGCGATCCTGCCAGGAGCTGGAGCGCAGAAGCTAAAACCATTTGACTAGGGCCCCTTGAGATTGAACCTCTACCACCCCCTTCAGGAGGCTAGGCCGAAAGGGCATTCGGATGCTCAAGTTCGCTCTCTGGCTATCTCGGAACCATAGATCCACAAAAGACACGCCGGTTTCCCCGAGCAGGGATCAGCAGGCACTAATTACATGCTTTTTATGTAGACAAGCGATTATGAACTTGAATTCCACTGGGGAAGAAAAGCCTATAAGGGAGAGGCGTCATTGAAAAACGTCATATTCACGTATGAGTTGGGGAGGGCCGACGTAGCCTTTCAGTCCAGGAAATAAAATAGATAAGATGGTGTATACTTGAAGGCGGACCTCGTAAACTATGAGTCCCGAAAGCAAAAATGATTTTTTTCGAATGAAGGCAGCCAGACCCCCTTTCCCCCGCCACTCCCTGTGTGTGTGAGTACAGTTCTCATCCGGATCCAATCGCCTGAAGGTCCGCCCTGCCCTATTCTCCATCTGGGGCCAAGAACCACGTAGACCTTTCTGAACTCTCCTTTCCAACCAAAACTCCACAATGGGAATGTGATTACAGGGGAGGTTAACACAGTGACTCAAGACTTAAGACAAAGGTTCCTGGTGTCTCAAAGGGGTTCCGTTGCTCCTTGGAGGAGGCTACCCCCTGCTTGTTGGTCAGAAGTGCACTGCACTCTGTGACCTTAGCCTATTCAGAAACTCTACTGCAGGCACAACAACCATGCCAGGCACACACCCCCTGTGCCCAGCCTACCAGCGCCCAGGTCAAACTTCTGGAGGAGGCCTTGATACACACTGTTGCCTGTCTGTGAGACACAGCATGCCTAATGGCAGCACAGACAAAAACCAAGACACTGAATTAATTGTGGCTAGACAGACTTTCTGGCTGTTTAAATGCTATGGTGTGTGGGCCCTTGATTCTCTTCTTCCCAGTGCAGAAGACCCTTGCAGAGGACAGGGACTTGAATAAGAATTACACAATTACGTAGAGTCAGAGGCCGAGACTGAGAGTGAGGGTGCACCATTGAGAGAAGCTAGTGAAGGGCTAATGACTGGGAGTAGTGTACCCACCCAGTGAACTGCCAAAAGCATTTAGGGACCCAGGGTCTCTTGTAGCATTAGGAGGGTCAGATATTTCTGAGGATATCCAACACAGGATCTAGTCAAGCATAAGGAGCTATGAGGAGTGCTGAACTTGGAGGTTAGAAACCTCTGGGTGGGTGAGGACATTTTCATTCTCTGGCAGTGGCTGTGGAAGTGGTTGGAGCTGTTACTTATCAGAGGATAATGATGGCAATAATGCATTTCCTCTGGCATTGGTTCTGAATGTACTCTCCAGCACTGACTGATTAAAAGAACTCCCACCAAGGTTCCTTGTCCAGGGGGATACAGAAACTCCTAGCCCCACACCTGCATTTACTGTTCTGTTCCCCATGTACTGGACCTGGAGTTGGGGCAAAAGAATGGCTTGGCTTCCAAGGCAAAGGGGATGTGTTAGGTAGTTTGTAGGCCCTATTAGTAGCAGAGCCAGCATGGCACTATGTCCAGGGTATGTGTGCAGCTCGTTATGCCTCTCACCCCAGGGCATGCTGATGTGGATCCTGGATGACCTCCCACTAGGCCACTTGAATCTGATCTGCCCCGAGGAAGCAGAACTTACTTTATTCCTTAGCCCCTCCCTACCAGACTTTCTCCTTTGCCTGCTGTCAGTCAGGCTATGGAGGCCACCAGTGCCTTGGCAGACAGAAACTTCAGCCTGACTCAATCCTGTTTCCTGTTTGGACTTGACTCCTGGGCTCAGAATCATTTACAACCACTAGAGGACAGAGTTGAGTCCCAGCCTCTCTGTCCCTTTCAGGCTTGGTTTCTCAGGGACCATCATGTTGGCAGGGTCTTCTATGAATGTCCAGGATTTACAGGAGTGAGCACTTATGCTTGTTTTTTTTTCTCTGCAATATGGTCATGAATTTGTGCTCTTTCTGGAGCTGTGCTTTTTCACTCCACCTCACAGCATGGCACAACTTCCTCATATCATCATAATCGGATTCTCACTTGAAGAAGCATTAATAAAGAGAGTCTCCAAACAGGACCATTTCAATGAGGTTGTCTCTTGCTGTAACAAGTGTCAAACATCAGTGGTGGCTTCAGTAAGTTACATGGACAGAGATGCCTTCTACACTGTGAGGATGTTTGACTGTGGGTTTCTGAAATGAGGAAGGGGGTATCAGAAGGCCCACACATGTTCGTCAGAAGAGATTGCTGTCCCCTCTCCCTGAGCACCTATCTATGTATTGAGGGTCCTTCTGCCTTTTACAATTCCCCTGAACATCCTGGCTCCTGCGACACCCCTATTGTTCTTTGTCATTAATTTTCATTCTTGCCCTATTTTCATCCCTAAGTTTTTTATTTGTCCTCTAAACCAAACAAAACCCTCCCTTCGACTTTGTATTTATATAAAGGTGCCAAATTATGTTGTCTTCACTTGTTTTCCTAAAATATTTATCTCTGTCATCAAGCTGCAAGATCCTTCTTCCTACAGACCTGAGATGGCCATAGCTTCTTGCATCAGAGAAACTGCCTTTCTGGGTTTTCAGTTTTCCCAAGTTCTGCAAACCCCTCCTCCTCCTCCTCCTCCTCCTCCCTCTCCTCCTCTTTCTTCTTCTAAGTTTAAAAAAAATACTTATTGTTGCTGGGCGTTGGTGGTGTACACCTTTAATCCCAGCTCTCTGGAGGCAGAGGCAGGCAGATCTCTGTGAGTTCGAGGCCAGCCTGGTCTCCAGAGCGAGTGCCAGGATAGGCTCCAAAGCAACACAGAGAAACCCTGCCTTGAAAAACTAAAACATATATTTATTGTTATTACTATTTTTACTTTTTTGTGTTTCCCATTTTATTAATTTATTTTTTACATTCCAATCCCAGTTCCCCCTTCCTCCTCTCTTCCCACTCCCCCCTCCCCCTTTCCATCTGCCCCTTGGAGAGTGTAAGGCCTCCCCTAGGAAGTCTACTAAGTCTGTCACATCATTTTGTTGAGGCAGGACAGAGGCACTTCCTCCCCCACACCCCTGTGTCTAGTCTGAGCAAGGTATCTCTCCGTATAGAATGGGCTCCACTAAGTCAGTTTGTGCAATAGAGTTAGATCTTGGACCCACTGCCAGTGGCCCCATGTATTGTCCCAGTCATACCATTGTCATCTATATTAAGGGAGTCTAGTTCTGTCTTATGCAGGTTCCCCATTTGTCAGACAAGAGTCAGTGATCTCTCACTAGCTCGGGTCAGCTGATTCTCTGGGTTTCCCCTTCATGGTCTTGACTCTTGTTCAAATTATTGCTCCTCCCTTACTTTGATTGTATTCCAGGAGATTGGCTCAATAGTTAGTTGTAGATTTCTGCATTTGCTTCCATCTGTTTCTGGAAGAGAATTCTAGCTTCTCTGGAATTGTGGATTGTAGGCTGTATCTTTTGCTGTATGTCTGGTATTCACTTATGATCGAGTCCATACTATATTTATCTTTCTGAGTCTGAGTTACCTCACTCAGGATGTTTTTTCTAGTTCTGTGCATTTGTCTGTAAATTTTAGGATGTCATTGTTTCTTACCACTGAGTAGTACTCCACTGTGTAAACGTACCACATTTTCTTTATCTATTCTTCAGATAAGGAGCATCTAGATTGTTTCCAACATATGCTTATTACGAATAATGTTGCTATGAACATAGTTGAGCAAATGTCCTTGTGGTGTGAGTATGCCTCCTTTGGGTATATGCCCAACAGTGCTATTGCAGGGTCTTGAGGTAGGTTGATCCCAAATTTTCCGAGAAATTGCCATACTGATTTCCAAAATGGCTGTATAAGTTTGCACTTCCACCAGGAATGGAGGAGTGTTCCCCTTTCTCTCCAGTATAAGCTGTCATCAGTGTTTTTGATCTTAGTCCTTCTAATTGGAGTAAGATGGAATCTCAGAGTTGTTTTGGCTTGCATTTCACTGAAGACTAAGGATGTTGAGCATTTCCTTAAGTGTCTTTCTGCTACTTGGGATTGTTCTGTTTAGATCTGTACCCCATTTTTTAATTGGATTATTTGGTAGTTTGATGTCTGGTTTCTTGAATTCTTTGTATATTTTGGAGAGCAACTCTCTGTCAGATGCGGGGTTGGTGAAGATCTTTTCCCATTCTGTAGGGAAGTTGTTTTGTCTTGTTGACTGTGTTCTTTGCTTTACAGAAGCTTCTCAGTTTCAGGAAGTTACTAATTGTTACTCTCAGAGTCTGTGCTACTGGCATTCTATTTAGGAAGTGGTCTCCTGTGTCTATGCATTCAAATATATTTTCTACTTTTTCGTCTATGAGGTTCAGTGTGGATGGATTTATATTGAGGTCTTTGATCCATTTGGACTCGAGTTTTGTGCATGGTGATAGATATGGATCTATTTGCATTCTTCTACATGTTGATAGCTAGTTATATCAGCACCATTTGTTGAACAAGATTTTCTTTATTCATTTTATATTTTTAGCTTCTTTGTAAAAAAATAGGTGTTCATAAGTGTGTAGGTTGATATCAGTGTCTTTGATTTCATTCCATTGGTTCACCTGTTTTTGTGCCTATACCAAACTCTTTTCATTATTATAGCTCTATAGTAGAGCTTGAAGTCAGGGATGGTGGTGCCCCCAGATGATCTTTTATTGTACAGGATTGTTTTGGCTATACTGGATCTTTTTGCTTTTCCATATGAAATTGAGTATTGTTCTTCCCAAGTCTGAGAAG